AGGGATCATTAAATTGAAACGAAAAATGATAAATATGTAGACACCTTTAAAATGGAAGTAGAAAATGATAAGGATATCATTGGAATCAAAGATTTAGATATGATATTGGAGACGGAAAATCCACCATCAACCAACATTGTCAAAATTCCACGACGCTTACACGTACACGGAAAAATAGAATCGACCAGTCACGAGTTTTTACGAACAACAGACTTTGAATACGTAAAACTATATTTCGCTTTAGGTGAAAAATACACCTCGATCGATGTTCATAAAAGTCAACAAGAAAGAGAGTTTATAGTGCATGTATCGTTTGCCGAAGACTTCATCCTTGAAGGTGGTGGTTTTATTTTTAGAGCCAAGATAAACATCGAAAAAGAAAAAAGAAAATATTCCTATCATCTTAAAGAGGACCATACGAAAAAAGAAATGTCGTTAGTACGCGTAAATGTTTTTACTTTTAATACCCGCAAATATAATAATGCTATGCCAAACAAGCGCGCTCTATACGATATTCCGTGGTTCCATTTATCGGAAATTCACTTAATTTAACGACTTAAAAAATGGAACTCGAAAGCAGACAACAATACATGATAGACAAACAAGAAGAGTTGAAAATAAAGTTGAGACAGTGCAATATATGCAGGAAAACATGGAGTAGAATCGATTCTTTTTTCAAAACAGTGAGCACAGTTCTAACGGTAGGAGTAACGGTGGCAACGGCCGTGACTGGTGGATTAATGCTTCCGGTCATCGTCCCAACCGTATTGGCTGCATTAACAGCTGTTCAAACGACCTCTTGCGGTCTCATCACTTTAGGTTTCACGAGCAAAAAGAAAGCTCATTATAAAAAGAAAACGGATATCTTGAATATGTATCTCAATCAATTGTACATCTTTTTCGAAAGATCGAGAGATGACAAGAACATAACAGTTGAAGAATTACAAGAATTCAATGAAATTTTGGACAAATTCCATACAGAAATATCAGCGGTCAAAATAAAGAAATAATCAAAAATATATACTTAAAAAAATATGAATAAAATCGAACTTGCAGACGATGAAACATTGATAGAAAACGCCCTATTTTCCGATGTTATCAAGGCTATCTCTGATAAATTTAAAACATTCAAAGGACAAATTAAAATAGATGGAGAGATAGTCGAGGAAGGGAATCACAGACAATACATGTCACTCCTCGGTTTCAATGCTAAAACTTTTCACAATATCTTTTCAAATATGGACAAAAATCCGATGCTTCCGATTGGTATTTTAGAGGAAAAATAATTTTAATGAAAGACAATTTCCAAGAAATAAAAAGATCGAGAGTTGGTAGAGGAGGAACTGATCTACTAAAAAAGATAAATGAATACGAAGGCGAAAATTGTTACATACCTACAGATGGTCATTGTTTCATCAAATGCGTCAATCGTGTTTTAAACGAAGACTACACGAGAGAATTTCAAGAATACATCAACGGGTTTTCAAAAGCAAATAGAAAAGAAGTGATGACTTGTGCTAGAATGAAGGAATTCAACAAGAAATTCAACACTTCGTTTCAAATTTATAATCCCAAAAACAGACATATTCATCCCAGAGACGTTCACGATGAATTAGATTGGGTTTGTTACTTACACAACTCGCATTTCTGTATGATTAGAAGAAGCCAAAAAAGTTTGGGAATTCAAGAAATAGAAGACAATTACGAACAGGTGTGGAAAACGTGTAGAGACGATAACGCAGTAACACAGGTTTCACCCCTCAAACTAAACGTGCTTTCGAGTATGAGCGATGATGCGTTATTCGCTTGGGATTGCGAAGCGTATTCAGAAAAAAAAACAGTCGAAGAGCAATTCCTTATGCCTGCACTTTAATTAATTTAGAAAAACTAAGAAAAAAGTTAGAAACGATAAAAAATATAATTCCAAATATAAATCCTACTGATAATGTTCCAGAAGAATTTTTATGATAAACTAATGAATGTAGTAGAACCACTTGTAGGTACAGATTGTATAGATCAAATGTTGAAAAATATTGGTCAATATGATAGAAAGAGATTAATATCAATTTCTCACAACGGCAGTGGATTCGACAACTGGATCGTGCTTAAAAATGCAAAAAAACTAACGCATTGCCCTTTAAAAACACCCAGAGGAATTCTATCTTTTCCTTTATCTAATCCATACACGGATGAAGATTTACAGAAAAAATGGAAAAGACAGAAAGAAATAAAGGGTAATTATTTACAACATATAAATTTCACGTGTTCCTACCAACACGAATCCTCTAGTTTGGCTGCATGGGGAAATTCTTTCAATCTTCCCGCGAATTTGAGAAAGATTGCCGACGTAGATATCGCTAAATACACGCAAGACAACTGGGAGGAATTGAGACACGAATGGGAACCTTACGCCAAGAGAGACACTCTCTGTTTGGGAGCTTGTTTGATAAAATACAACCAAGTCACGAAAGAAGTTGTAAACCAGAATATGTCCAATAATCTAACGGCTCCATTTTATCTTTAAAGGGTTGGTATTATTTATATCATTACGATAAAGAAATGGTGGAAGAAGAATGGTATGAAACTACTAGAATGGTTGCGAAACATACCGAAAAAGAAAACGTAGAAAAAGTTTATTCGCACACTAATCCTTTTATAAGAAATTTTATCAGACGATCTATTAAAGGAGGAAGAGTTTCGGCAAATAGAAAATCATTTGAAACGAACAAAATGGATGAAATTTGTAACGTATTAAAGGAATATACAAAACTTGAAAGTAATAACATAATTGATTTATTCAAAAAATAAATGATACTCAATATTTCGTTGAGAAAAAAATTGAAGAAAAAGAGATTGCTGCTGAAGATCACTCAACTAAATCTACAATAAACTTTGATTCACGTGTTAAAACCTATGAGAAAATTAATGATACTCAATATATTGTTGAAACAGAAATTGAAGAAAAAGAGATTACTACCGAAGACAGTAAATCTACAGGACTAACACCTAGTCATTTGGGATCATTCGTTTTATCTCACAGTAAAAAAATAAGGAATAATTTCATTCATGAAATAAATGGATTTTATAAACCTGAAATATACTATACCGATACTGATAGTCTATACATTTCATCTAGAAATTGGGATAAATTAAATCGAGCTGGGTTGGTATCTAAAAAGGAATATTGCAAAGGAAAGAATGATTACGGCGATGGTGGAATCATATTTGGTTTATATTTAGCGCCAAAAGTCAAATATAATATCATTCTAACCTCCGACGGTATTCTAAAAGAAAAGAAAACGTTTAAGGGTTATTCTAATAATAAGACAAGTGTAGAAGATTATATTCAGTTGGCTAGTGGACATGATGTGTCGAATGAATTTAATAAAAGATGGGAAAGGAGTCTCACGAATGGAGTAGTTATTCCAAAGGATGATGATAAACAAAAGAAAGTTTT